GGAGGAGGAGGAGGAGGAGGAGGAGGAGGAGAGAAAAGGGAAACAAAATATTGGGGCACGACCACAGCCTTGTAAAGGTTGGTATGGAGTGAGCATGGAGAAGGGCCTCCAGGTGAGACTGTGCTCTGAGAGGTCCCTCTTTTTTCCAGGATGAAAGGTGAGACTCCAGTGAACAGCACTATGAGTATTGGGCAAGCACGCAAGATGGTGGAACAGCTTAAGATTGAAGCCAGCTTGTGCCGGATAAAGGTGGGTGGGACCCTGGCTGGCTCCCATTAGTTGGCCAGGCCGTGCTGTGCTGCAGGTTCCCAAAGCTCAGATGCCTTCTTTCCTTCACTCCCTGGGGTCAGAGGAGGAGTCTGGGGCTCTGCAAGGAGAGCTGTCCCAGGCCTCTATGGGGGATGAGGGAAAAGACAGTCGTAAGGAGCCTTGAAGAGGGCAAAAGAGAACTCATTTGGGAGGGAGGCTGCAGCGCCCTCCAGAGGTCCTGGCTAACAATACCCCCCCACCCCCCGGCTGTGTCCCAGGTGTCCAAGGCAGCAGCAGACCTGATGACTTACTGTGATGCCCACGCCTGTGAGGATCCCCTCATCACCCCTGTGCCCACTTCAGAGAACCCCTTTCGGGAGAAGAAGTTCTTCTGTGCTCTGCTCTGAGCTGCCCTGTCCCTTCTCACAACCCCTCAGTTTTCCCTCTCCTGGGCCCTTCCTTAGGTCTGTAATTGTGGTGAGCCCGAGGCTCCCTGCATCCCATCCTTAACCCTTGCCTGACCATGTGAGGTTATCTGAAGCACAAGGCCCGCCCTCACCTATCTGTTGACCCCATTTCCAACGCCTTGTGGCCGACCCCAAGGACCCCAGAGACATGAGGCACCCTTTGCTCCACCCACAGCAGGGCCCCGTCAGACTCTGCCAGCAACCTGCCCGCTTCCCTTGGTGACCCGCTCAGACAGTGGAGAGAGGGATTGGCCAGGTGCTTGCTCTCTGTCTCACCTGGAGCTACTGGGAGGGTAAAGCCATTTGAAGAATAAAGTCATCCAGAGCCTCAGAGGACAGCTCCTGTGTTAGCATTCTTGGGGGGAGAGGATCATCAAGCAATAGATTTGCCATAACCCAGGGAAAAAGGCCAATCACAGCAGCCTAGACATTGTCAAAGATCGGAGATCGGCGGGGTCAGGGGATGGCGGGTGAGAGAGCGTCCCCAGTGGAGGAATTAAGTACAACAGACGCTCAAGAGGCTGCGGAGAGCAAACACACACAAACGTGCAATGAAGCCAAGTGAAAAGGTAAACAGAACGAAGAGGGTGGATTTAGGGGAGGATTCAGGAGTGCAGTGGCACAGCAGAGGAACTCTTAGGAGGACGGGGCGGAGCTTGGCTTCAGTTACCGAGACCGGAGCCGGTTTTATACCTAAGATGGCTGCGCCCACAGCTGCTCCCCTTCCAAGATGGCCGTAGCAACATGGCGGCCCCCACCTCACGCAGTTTACCGTACAGGGCTTCTCTTAAAATGGCGGCCCCCAGGCAGCGGGCGTTCTTAATATGGTCCCTTCCGCGCTTTTCTGGTCTCAAAATGGCTGCCCCTGCCCTCACCAAGTCGGGGCCCCCTGAAACCCCGCACTCTGGATTTCGATGTCCTCCTGATTGAGCCAAAGGCTCACAGGCAGCCATAACGAGGAATAACGGAACAACGGGACCCCAGGAAGCACAGCGTGGCCGATGCTGGTCGCATGAATCTTGGAGAGGGAATCTAGGTTTCTACATCTTGCCAGGGAGAGGTTCCCTTTGGAGCGGAAATATTAACTGCAGGAGGTTACCGCCCGGTGCATCAATCTTAGTGCAGCGCTCCTCAGTTGCTTCCTGGTCTTCCCAGGAGCTGGATAACCCCCAGTTAGTTTGGGTTTCCTAGTAGAACTGACGCTTGTTTTTGCTTTCATTTCCCCCTCAGGCTGATTGGGCCACATCAGCCAGAAAGCAGTGTCTCCACCCTAATGTGCCTGGCAGGAGTCCAGCATGCTGTCTGGACAGGGACCAAACTTAAGGCTTAACATGTTACAAACATCTCCAGGACTCACACATGGCGGAGGTTTACGAACACCAGAATGCCTCCTAGAATCTTTTCCTTCCAAGGGTGCACAGAGCAGAGATGCGCCCAGGGCCAACAATCCCAGTCAGTATATGTGCTTCTCATAGAGTCAAGATCCCCTAAACTCAGGGACGTAACCTTCCCCGGAAAAGCCTAGGCTGGCTCCTGTTCTGTGCCTGGATATACTTTGGGGAAGGAGGCTGCTTTTAAATAGGGACAGCTCAATACCCCCAGCTTCCAGGTACTTTTGTATAAAGAGGAAATCAAAGAAAGGGTGTTTCATCAGCAACTGAACTTAGCCTCCTAAGGATATCTTCATGAACTCCAGGAATACCGAATGAACTTGGGACAGGTGTCCCAAGCAGCTTTTTACTGTTGATGGAACTTCTGAGCTCTAAGAAGTCCTGGAGATCTTCTAATTAATTCCCTTATCCTAGAGATGAAGAAACAGGAAAAGTAACCTTTTGCTCTCCTGGAGTTGGACCTATCCCCATTCTGTTGAGGAGCCTCTGTTCCTTCTTGGTTAAAATTCCAGGAAGGATCAATCAGGTCCGTTTTAATCCCTGTATCCTTACAATGGCACATATCAGGCACCAAAATACCCAATGAATGGACTGTAGTGTACATGCTTAAACGGCAAATGGGGCATAGCAGGGACCAAGCACCTTTGCTCGCTTGTCCCAATGCATCACAGTGTTGGGCAAATTCCAGGAGAGTAAGTTAAATTTTCCAATAACAGCTCAGACATGGTAAAAAACAAACAAAAACAGAATGCTTAGTAACTGTAACCTTGATTTTTAAAAATGCCTCCACTTGGCCTGGTGCGGTGGCCCATGCCTGTAATCCCAGCACTTTGGAGGCCCAGGCAGGTATCACCTGAGGTCAGGAGTTTGAGACCAGCCTGGCCAACATGGTGAAACCCATCTCTACTAATAATAAACAAATTATCCAGGTGTGGTGGCAGGCGCCTGTAATCCCAGCTACTTGGGAGGCTGAGGCAGGAGAATCACTTGAACCAGGGAGGTGGGGACTGCAGTGAGCCAAGATCAAATCACTGCACTCCAGCCTGGGCAACAGAACAAGACTCCATCCCCACCCCCCGCAAACAAAAGCCTCTGTTCAGTTTTTCTGCACACTCTGCAGCCCTAGTTGGGAAAATGGAGCTTAAGTGGTAGAGACCAGGCATGAGCTATAACTATTTTAAAAATGACTATTAGCTCTATCATCAACTTTAAATGTCCTAGAGAATAGGTGGCTACCAAAATCAAGGGTGGCCTTCAGGGTACAAGGCTGTAAACCTGGGTATCTGAAGCTGTGTCACATAGAGAGGGTAGGAATTAGAATAGTATCTACATCCATACTACTACCTCTTCAGAACACTGGATGTCATGAGCCTGTGATATCTCAGCTTTAAGACCCTGACCATTTGTTAGAAACTGCCCTTAGGATTAGTTCATTGTTAATAATGTAATGGTGGCTGGGCACGGTGGCTCATGCCTGTAATCCCAACACTTTGGGAGGCTGAGGTGGGCGGATCACGAGGTCAGGAGTTCGAGATCAGCTTGGCCAATAAGGTGAAACCCTGTCTCTACCAAAAAAAAAAAAAAATTAGCCAGGCGTGGCGGTGCGCACCTGTAGTCCCAGCTACTCAGGAGGCTGACGCAGAAGAACTGCTTGAACCCAGGAGGTGGAGGTTGCGGTGAGCTGAGATCCTGCCACTGCACTACAGCCTGGGCAACAGAGCGAGATGTTGTAAATTTAAGTTACCTTCTCATTCTCCAAATTCACTAGAAAACAACCCCTATCAAAATTCTGTTGAATGAGGGCTTTTCCCCTAGCAGTAATTACTCATGAATATGATTATTTGGCTCCACAAATAGAACTTGACATTTAACTTCCAGCATCCAACTGGTTTTTGCATAGGCCAAATACAGAGGTCATGAGTTATAATTTATTTTCTTGCACTTTAATGTCTTGACTCTTGGCCTAAGCAAGCACTAAACAACTAATAACCACCCACCCACATCAACTGACTGCATAGCTGGCTCCCAAGTGAAGGCATGGCAGAATACGGAGGGAATGGCAGCCACCATGCAAGAAGAGAGCCCTCCTTGGTTGGAACCCATGTAACTTGAGAAAGCAGCATTAAAAAAATGAATAAATGACCCAATGACACCCTCTACCCCAGTCAGTGCAGCCACAGGAGATAGGGTGAATTCAATCCAAATGGTTATTTATTCTAAAACTGGAAGCTGCTTTGCCTACATTTTCACCAGAACGGTGTAATGAGAACAGGGGAGGAAAAAGTTACAGATGTAAACAATGACACAGTTACATTTTTTTTAAATGGTAAAACCCTTTTTTACTGGCCACTTCCAAGAATGCTTTACAGGTTGTGCAAAAACATTTACAGGCTCCATGTGGTGTTTGTTTTTCTCACAAGCTTTTCCATCTACAGCTACAACAGACGTCTGATAAAACACTAAACAAGTCTTCTAAGGAAAACAAGATTAGGGATTCCTCTGGTTGCCATAATCCACATTTCCCCCCTTAACATAGTTTTTTTCATAATAAAAAGACAGAAACAAAATCCAGACATCTACTGTTGTTGCAAGTGATCTCTTGGACTAAACCAACAAGGATGTGGCAGTTTCACTTTTCACCCACCTAGAAAAACAGCTTTGTAAAAAAGATGACTTTCTAGTGTCAGATATCAATAGCGAGTTATCTCCCTGAACCCCTGTTGGAAAATAAACCCAACCTGATTCAATTTAGTCCCCTTGCCCCTGAGGGCCCTAGCATCCCTGTTCATGTCACTACAAGAAAGATGCTGTTTGCAGGACTAAACATTTGAAAAGGGGTGGCAGCCACTGCCTCAGGAAATTCTGATTTCTAATATAACATAATCTTGCCCTAAGGGAACTACTTTGGGCTCCAGTTTTTACCTCCAGCCTTGACATTATAAGCAAAGCTTTCTCAAACTCCCTTAATAATAATAATAATAATAGTACAAAGTTAATGTGTTACAGAAAATTTCATGCAATCATTCCACCCACTGCCACACACAAACTCATTTGAGGGCACCTCAGGGAAGCAGATGCCAAGAGAAAGGACATGATTATGAGTAAGCAAACTTATCTCCTACCAGCCCCCTGTTCCTGCCTTGGGGTCAGAGGTAATTGGGCAGAAGGGTGTGTCATGACAGACAGGGACACTAGATGGCCAGAATAAGGGTTTGCACACCTGAACAAGGGCTGTATGGCAGTAACAGTGAGAGAAGGAGAGGAAGACCAAATCAGCACAAAATTTTAAAGAGAACTGCCCAGGTGAGGAAATGGAAGTGAAGCGTTTTCTAGTAGCACAACCCAGATTTTCTCTCACTAGAAAGTACTGCTATATGTGGTGTCTGCTGAGTAAGCTCTTGGCTGACACAGTGCTGAACAGGAGGATGAATGAAAACTGAGGCTACACATTGAAAGAGCATTCCATATCCCACCCATATTCTTGAACCCAGCAACCTACAGCTGTCTATCAAGAACTGGGAGGGTATTGGTAAAGTCACAAACAAAACTATACCAACTGAAGTCTCTTGGCTAGAGGCCTCTCTGGGGACATACAGGGAAAGCACCCCAAAAGGAATCTTGTTTCTAGAAGTCAGGAAGGGGTGTTCCCTTTCATACGCACATTTACACACCTTCACACTCACTCTTCCCAAGGTTCAGCAGCCCCACTGAGCCGCCACCCACCCCCCACCCTCCCCTCTTCTATTCACCCTCAACCTGTGTATCAAAAAAAACAGCAGGGCAGGAGCCCTCCACACTGTAGAAAATAGTTGCTAGTTACTATTCTCAGCACCTGGGCCTGGGAGCCCACACCACAGGATTCACCTATATACATATCCCGTTGCAGTGAAAAGAATCCTGCTGTGTTTCCGTGTGAGCTGAAACCCTGAGAAACGAACTTCTCTCACACTGTAAGAGGACAGACACTCTAACAGGGATGATTTCAGAAACCTCCTCCCTCTCTCAACTTTGGAAGACAGAGACTAGAGACTGGCAAATCACAATCTTCAGGCTGAGGGCTGTAATCCCATTCTCCCCAAGCTTTTATGGGAATTAATCTATGGGTCTGTAGAGCGGCAGGCTATTCTGCTCTGCAATCAAGGACAGTCCTCAGGCTTTCTCGGCCTGGGAATCCTGTATAACAGAACCACCCACTGGCAGTCTCCATGCCTCAGCCAAACAGAACAAAGGCACAGGAAAATGGAGAGTTGGGACACTGTAAGCCTCCCAGCCCACCAGACCAGATATCCCAAAAGGGAAAGGTCGGTAAAGAAAATACAAACGGTTAGTTGGTGCAAGTGATTGATAAGAGCCAATCGTTTATTTTCACTGCCCCCGTCACAAGCTCTCCCTCTGTCCCCACTCCTGCCTACTCCGACCTGCTGTGGAGAGCACTCTCGTGCTGACTCCCCACCCTCCCCATACCATCTCATCGCTCTCCTTTACTTGGCTGCCAGTCCAGCTGCCTCAGAGTGTCAGAAGGGCGCCATTTTCAGTTCTCTTCCTGTCTGACTGCAGGGTATAGAACAGGCAGCCCTAAGTGTTGCTTTCTGCGCAAATGTTTTTTGATTACAAATCTCTAACTAGGTTTGAAATGTTTTATAGAATAAGACAATATTCTTTTCAACAAACTTTAAAAAAAATGTACAGTTTTGTTGTTTGTTTCCACCTCCCCCCTCCCCCACCCCTGCTTGAGCACCCTCCCCCCCCACCACCCCTCCCCGGCAGCTCAGCCCCACCCCGACAGCCCCTGTTTTCCTTGGTTGTGTTTTGGGGGGGGTGCCTGGCACCCCCAGAGATTCAGCTTCATGGCTGACAGGTGACCATGGCAGGGGCTTCACCGATACCCTTGGTAACCGTAGTAGTTCCTGTAGTATCGGTCTCTGTCCTGGGGGTGGTGGTAGTAGTAACTCTGCCACTAGAAGAGAGGGGAAACCCCATCACTCGGAGCCAGAGCTGGCTGAGGATGAAGAGGCACAACATTCATCCTTCTGCTCCTGCCCCCCTTCACCCTGTGTCTATCCCAAGAAGATACTCACATCCCGATTGTATTGTCTGTAATAGTCTCTGTATCTGTTGTACTCATAATCTCGCCCATAAAATCGATCATAGTCTCCCCTGTATCGATCATAGAAATTACGGTAACCCTGAGAAAGGAAAAAAAGGAGTGAAGATTTATGAGTTTTCAACAGCACGACCCACTGCTACCCCCTTTTAAATAGGACACATCTTACCTTGATATTATAAAGAGGTTTAATTTTCCCAGAGTAAATCTTCCAGAACATATTAAATGGGCAAAACCCTAAGCCCTAAGAAAACAGCCCAAACCGCTCTGCTCCCCCAAGCCAATAGGAATGGCTCTCACAGCCCAGGAGTGAGGAGCAGAAGGAGAGCTGCACTCACCCCTCTGTTTCCAGGCTGCCCCCAGTACTGCTGCCCGTAGGCCCGGTTGTCGTAGCCTCGGCGCTGCCCGCCCACTGGAAGAGAAATGGAGAGCGCGCTCAGACAGCTGGCACGGGGTCCTGGCTCCACATCTGGGTGGAAATCAAAAAGTCGGAGCCAAAGGCAATTCTGGGGGAATATGAGGCCTGCTTTGGCCAGGCTCACACGTTAAAGCACCAGCCAGGAGCTTTTAAAAAGTCTGAGGGGGGAAGGCAGAGGAATAGAGACACAAGAAAACCAAGCCACCTTGCTTTTGAAGCTCCCAAATTCCTGCAAAACATTTAAGATGGCAAAAGGATACATGGCAGAGTTAGAACATAAGGAAAAACTGCCATTCATAGACTCACAGACTTTCAGCCCTGGAAGGGATTTCAGATATCATATAACCCACACCTATCAGTTTATACAAAAGAAACAAAGTCTCTGTAATCAGCTCCTCAAGGGCAGGAACTGTCACATTTCCAGTACCTAGCACATACCAGGCACTTGAAAATTCTGCTGACTTAACAGTTACACACACACATACACACACATTTTTAAAGAACAGTGAAGGCACACTGGAGTTTTAACTGACAAACTAGACATTCGGGGGAAAATTAATTCTACTAATAGCCTAACTTGCTCGGTAACCTCCCCAGCTCCCCAAAAAAATACTGAATAAAGCATTCACTTTCTGGTCTATACAGTTAGGCTAACTGAAATGACAGAGCAGCAAGAAAACTGAAGATGAGACTCTGATTTCACTGCATAAATCCTTCAGATAGACGGGAACAGTGACACCGGGAACCCATATGTTAAAATGAAAACTAGACAGATAAGAAAGCCCAAACATTGCTTTTCAGAGAAACAAATACTTCTGGCGAAAAGTAACCCTTTTTTTAACAAGAGGATTTTTGTCGTTGAAGAATTAAGGAAAAAGCCCAAGAAAAATGTGGGGATAAAGAACATAGGAAGAAATAAGCTCCATGAAGAAGGCACTTCCTGTTAATGGCCTGACTTGGTTTCCTTGGCCTTCCCTTGCACATCTTGCTGTACTAAGCACAAAGAATGGACTGAGACAGGCGGCTGGCAGGTCCCCAGGACTCACCATAGCCTTGGCCTCGACTTCGGTTCTGCCGGTTACGCTTGTTTCGGTTGTTCCGGCGGTTTGTCCGCTTCTCGGAGGGGGGCAGTAGCTTCCTTGCCTCCTCCTTGTACTTAGTGACAATGGGCTGAGCTTCCTCCTTCTCCAGCTCCCCATATGTCACTTCATCCATATAGTCGCATTTTTCAGGCAGAGAGAAGTTGGCTATAAGAGTAAGAGAGAAGCTTGTGGGCCTGAAAAGTGCATAGATGAGTAAGAACTCATTACGAAAACTACTACAAGAAGCATATGACTTTCTATAACTCACCTATTACTGCACAAACGT